TTGAGTTATCAGATGGGTTCGCCTTCTCGAAATTTCAGCCTAATCTTGTCATCAACGACGGTGAACTATAATTTCATTTTTATGATTTATTTATCTACACAATTGCACAATTATAATTTGCAACCACTGCATGGTTCCGTTATAAATATTCATCGACGGCAGCGTGAAACAATTGTTTAAATTAAATGGTTTTCTGAGATAATTTATTATAAACTAATCAATATGCAAAGTAAATCTTTGCGATAGCATTAATATAGTAAATACGTTTTAAATTTAGCTATGGATTCCTTGTCTGCGTTGATCTCACGAAAATACGTTTTAATGGTAATTTCCTTTTCTACGAAAACATGAACACATTAAGTTTCGCTCAGTGGATTTAATAAATTCGGAAAAAATAGACGAAAATGTGTAGGTAATCAGCTTAACTCTTTGGTATCTACTATTATTACTATTTTTTTTTTAATAATAAACGATAGCAGACGTCTAAAAAGCGTTCTGCAGTTTATTGATATCAACAACGAATAAACGGATCAACAATGCTGCATCTATATTGCACATTACCGTATAGCTATAATAATCAATAGACCCAAATGCACGCAATAGTCCTACAGGTTGAGATTCTGGCAGTGGGGACCAACCAAAGCGTTTATCGAAATAAAAGAATTTGGAAAGAACAATATATCACAGTATTTTATATTCTTGGTTCCCTTTAATTTAAAAATACACCATTATTATTATTATTTATTTTAATGGCATACTATTATAATATAGCTTATATATTTTTAAATTCGTAGAATGCAAATATTGCATTAGGTATTTAGGTACCTTCCTATTTGTCTATGCCATAGCTGATATATGTGTTAGGTATATCCGTATATATAGGTTATGTTGTATTTCTATAATGCTATAATATTATGACGTGTAATACTCTAATATAGGGGTTTTCAACCTGTGCGTCCCGTCTACCACCTCCCAGGGAAGTAGCCGATTAATGATTATTATAAATTGATGATCCGCGTCCGCAGTAGAAAATAAAAATTTGTTTATCTTATTTATTATTGTTTTTGTATGGAAGCCGTTTAAATTGTTTTAAAAATCAGAAGATCCGTAGATACAAAAACATTGAAAACCCTCCATAGAAAATGTATGTTAGAGTTTAACATCTATTTTGGCCTCCCTGCCGAGGACACTGGACATCCTTGCTTATAGTCACATCACTCAAACTAATTGCGATGTTTACCCCTATTGAGATCTCGATGGCCACAAGGTGACATTTTCTAGGTTTTCGGTGAGCTGTACAAAAACAGCATTTTATAGAATTTTACATTTCTAATTTCGATAACTTTTAGTGATTTTTCAGATTTTCTTCAGTAATTTATTTAATAGATTTTTATCGTTTTTATGGCCAAGTAATTTTAAGTTAGTTATAAACTGATGACTATTATTAAAATGTCAAAAACAATGTTTATGAAATAGTTTGAATTTTTTACTCTTATATCAAATTATTTTTATAGTTTGCATTTTTGTGCTAAGGTATCATTTATGTCCAGGAATAATAATATCTATTTTACGAAAATATGTGAATTCTCAATTATTATTTTGTTACTTCCTTACTCGTCTCGAATGCAATTATTTATCTGTAAATTAGCTAAGGTTATTTTGAAGGAAGTTAGTTGTACATATAGGTAGGTACACCTCATATAATCTTCTATCGTACAATTTATTATAAACTGTAATATTTTAAATTGCAATAAATAATTAATTATTTTGTTTTAGAAAAATAAAAAGTGATTTCATAGGTGATAAACTGATAAATTATAACTAATTATAATCAATTATTTTGGAGTTCAGCGGTTGTGATAACGTCGATAAGCCTCCATATAATTTATAGGTACTATCGGCGTTTAATACCTAAAAATACAACTTAGGCCCGTTATTTAGAGTACACACTTTATTATGATGTGTTATTTATATTTTAAATTTTAAAATACATTGTTCGTTACAAAATATAGAGTTTAGACGATACACCTATATGCGTGGCCGAGTGAACTGAGCCCAAATAACCTTTATTTTTTTGTAAAGTGCGCCCTAATTGTTATCCTTGTTAAAAAGGTATAATGTAAGCTGCGCCCCGTTTGTAAATTATACAAAACTTTTAACTTATTAAAGTAAATCCATGATTGTGTACTTTTTCGATCAACATGTATAAAAATACCAATACGTTATCGAATAACTATTGTGGTATACGATAACTGATGATTATCACTACATCCGGGATAGATCTGCTAGTACCTATCGTATTCACTTTAACCAGTGAAGTCACGATGGCCAAACAATTCGTATCACAGCGCGAAAAGAGCTTGAAAATAATTTCAAAATTTAAATTTCGTAAAATAAATCGGCCTCTAAGTTCAGGTGATTTTAAGCGGCGATGTACAGTCAAAACTTGCACAGAATTTTTTAAAAACGCTCATAATAATATGGCTGTAATGAACCAAGTATAAATAAGAAATTGTAATTTTGTTTACTTTTGAAAAAATATAGATCTTTGTTTTTAAAATTTTACCCGGGCCCAGTTTACATGTGTGATTATGTGTTTACCTGTATCTTGGGCGCATTTTACAATCGCTGGTCCGATAATATATAAATTGTCACTTAGACGTTTAGCTTGATCCCTTTTGCATTGAAAATTGGTACCTTCGATTTAACGTTAAAAGTACTTAAAACGTTCAACTATGTTCATACAAGCAAGCTGTATTATAAGTCGATTAAAATTATGGATAGCCGAATGGTTATAGGTATTTTCCTTTTGATTAATGAAAAGGCTTATACATCCATATTGATGTACAATTAGTACTACTCACCACTGCACAATGACGATTGCCTTACCTTTTCTCGCCGATAAGAATAATGTTACTATTTTTTTTATAATATGCATTATTCATTAACAACGCATATTAATATTATACGTACCTACCTGTCTATGTAATTGTAGGTAGAAAACATTAAACAACAATTAATGCCTTTTTGAGAACGCTGAAAATTCACTAATAAATGTATGATATCTATTATAATTATTCATTAGGTACCTATTGCATACAAGTTGAAAAAAAATGTATAATTGTTAATTGGTTGAAGCAATAAGTTGTACGGATGAAAATTAAATATGTTCAGTGTTAATACTAAAATATTACCCTGTAATACAATGTTGCAATTCAAGGGCATTGATATAGCTTTGTGAAAATGACGTCGTTGGATATAATTGAAAAGTTTTTTTTCTTCGAAGAGTAGGTACCTATAATATTACAAACTGATGGAAGACTACGTAGGTAATAGGAATTTAAATTTGTATACATTATTACTTATATAACTTATATTTACATTTTTATCAAGCAAAATTAATGATAGAATACGATGCCAGAAAAATAATATTTATATATTTTAAAATAAACAGATAGGTGTAATTACAAACTAAATAAAAACAAAGTAACTTTTTACTTTTTAATTGAACGCGATAAAAGTAAATAAGAATTCGCTCGAAAGTGTTTTTCATGTTCTACAAATGCCAAATATCATATCAAATGCTCTATCTTAAATCTTAGTGTTTGAAATTAATTCAGTAAAATTACTAAAATAATAAATACATTATTATAATTAAATTTAATCATAGTTTAATTATAACTTATAACTATGATTATGTGTATAAGTTCATAAAAATTCAACAATAATAGTACTCAGCTATAGTTCAAAGAATTAAGTTTTCTAAAATTGCGTCATGCTTTATATTTAAAAGAATCCTAAAATGATCGAATGAATGAATTGTTTAAAATAATTTAGACAACTTGATGTATCACCATTATTGTTATTTTGCTTTATAAAAATAATGAATTTTGTGTATTGACTATGACAATGTCACAATGACTTATACCTATGACCTATAATATATAATATTATATACTCTTATATTATGAAATATGAATTAATATACTGCTGCACAGATGATGTAGTTTCAGATTTCCAATAAGCTAGTGAACATCTTATGCTAGCCAATTTATTCCACTATTAAGCCATTTTTATGATAAAGATACCTAATTTTTTTTTAAACTGCAACTTGCAAGCAAGAAACATTTTTTATGTCATTATGTCAATAAAATATAACAATCATATATAAAAATAGTATATAACCATTAACTTTTTTTTGGGATAAGGTTTAAAATTTAAGGTCATTGATTTTTTATTGTTTTTGCTTACAGTTATAAAAATTATAATATATAGGTATCATTATATTAATTTTATTTTTGTATTTTCGTAATGAGTTTTTGAAATTTATATTTCTTAAAATTAATTCTTGGTTGCTAAAGCTTAAGACTAAACATTTAAATAACAATTAGGTTATAGTGATTAAATAAGATAAATTTTTTTTGAGAACAAGAAAGTTATTACGTGAGAGAATATGAGATATAGGGTATGTACGGATATGGGGCATATACTTAGTAAATTCACAGTTCGGATATATGCAGTTTAACGAATAAATTACCTGAAGATCTTTAAACAATATTTTAGATATTAAAATGGTTCAATATTACTATGAATATTGAACGTTATATTAAATAAAACCACTTATAACATCTGTATAATCAATTCCACTTCAGAGTTCGAGTGTTCTTCACTTGTAAACTTAATTCGAAGAGTACCTACTTGTAGTTTATGTACTTTCAAACTATACGCACCCAAAATCACTTTTATTTTAAGTACCTGTATGGCTATATGCCTTATACAGTTAATGCGGGCATTGTTGGACATATTTCGATTTCTGGAGTAGGTAGTTATTAGTTACTACCCAATGTATTTCTATTTATATATTACCTAATCTCTCAAATATATATGAACGTACAGTAATTATTATTTTGTAACCTACCTGTGTATTAAACATTAAAAATTGTTAAAATTAGTTGGAGTAAACATATTAATAAATGTTGAACAATAATAATATTTTTCAGAGCCCGTGCTATGTGGTCAAGTGTGTGTTGTTGCTGCAACTCATATACAGAACGACTGGGGCAGGATGTTCGGTGGACCATGGCAGCGGGATGAATTATCCGACTACCACTGCCAGCGGGACGTGGACGACTCGAGGCGGGATATCATCTTACGGCTGGGACAGCCGACAGCCTATAGATCCGTGTAGCCGTTGTACGAACGTCCCACCGCCATTGCCCGGTTCTCACTACACGACACAAGCTCATGACGGTGGAATGTACAGTGTAAACGACCGTATAAGTGTCAGTGGTTACATGTCAGACAATCGGGGTTCTGTGAGCGGTTACATGACGGATAACCATGGTAGTGCGGGTATGCATGGTTCAGATAATCGACACACCGGTTATGGTTCCGATAATCGTGGTAACAGTTATGGCTCTGACAATCGGGGCCATATGAATGGTCGGCCCAACGGTTATAACTCGATCGGTCATGTTACTGGCAACGGTTATATGTCGAGTAGTTCTAATTACGGCGGTAACAGTCATGTTACTGATAACCACGTTCAAATATACAACACCCATATCGCAGACAGTCAAATGAAAAATCCCAATTACCGGGGTAATGGTTACGACAATTTAAGCCCGGAATGGGAACGAAGACACAACAACAAGAAAGTTGGTGTCAGCGGTGGAAGCTATGGAAGCGGTATAGGTGGTGGTAGCGGTAGTGGAGGCTATGGAGGAGTTATAGGTGGAGGCGGTGGTTATGGAGACGGTATCAGTGGAAATGGTATTAGCGGAGGCGGTATTAGTGGAAATGGTGGTCATGGAAGTGGTGGTCATGGAAGTGGTGGGTATGGAGGCAGTATCAGTGGGAGTGGTGGGTATGGAGGCAGTATCAGCGGAAGTGGTGGTTACGGAGTCAGTAGTTATGGACATGGTACTTTTGGTTCGGGAAACAGCGGTAGTGGATATTATCAAGGAATGTCGTATCCTGTTCCCAATATTCCCGACAGCCACGGTAATTACCATAGACCGTCTACCGACCGGTGGAGTATCAAAGGAGCATATCCAGTGAAAGTGGAATCCGGATACTGGCAGAGTCAACCACCCAAAGACATCGGCTGGGATGAGGCCAGCAAGAAAGTGGGAGTAATAGCCGGATGGATTGGTGGCCCGAAAAAGTACGAGTCCAGTAAACCTTCAACGGCGTACGGTTCGCATCAGGTGAATGACAAAAATGACGAAGATTACTTCAACAAGGGAACCGGTTACGAAAACAATTCGGACCGAAAGAAACCTTATATGGGTTGGGGAGGTTCCGGATCGTACGAGGTGATCAAAATGAACAGCGGATACAAGTACATCGACAGGAATAGCAACAGTGATTATGGTACTTCTTACGGAAACGGTTATGGTTACGGGGGACAGAATTACAATAACAAACCTAGTCAAGATTATGGTTTGAAACCAATGAACGTCGACCATGGCAGACCTTACGACCACGGAACTTCAAGTTACGCTAAACCTGCTCACGGCTATGATAAACCAATGCACGACTCCGGTAAACCCACTACACAGGACTACGGTACGCCAACCACTCACGATTACGGCTCTAGGCCCCATGTTGATTTACAGAGTACACCGCGTCCAATTGGGTTCGAAGCCACAACCCCCCGTCCACCAGGGTGGGGTTCTCAGAAACCTGGATATCCGGCGATAGCTTCTCGGCCCACTCAGCACTGGGGTGAAAACTCGTATGGTGAACAATCGGGTAATATAGGTAGTGGTTCAGTGGGTTACGCTAGACCCGGTGGAAACGATGTCGGAAGACCAGTTGATTATGGTACTTTGAGACCAGAAAGTTACGGGACTCAGAGGCCGGTTGATTATGGATCTTTGAGACCAGACAGTTACGGAACTCATAGACCGGTTGATTATGGTTCTCCGAGACCAGACAGTTACGAAACTCAGAGACCGGAAGGTTATGGATCTCCTAGACCAGACAATTATGGATCTTCTCGTCCAGATAGTTATGGATCTTCACGTCCCGATGGGTATGGATCTTCTAGACCTGATACTGGAGGAGAAACATCAGACTATGGATCCTTCAGACCTTACGTTGGATCCATGAATAATAATATGGTATCAGATTATGGCTCCCAAAAACAGGAGTTCGATAAATTCAGTGGTTATTCAGATAACGATGGTGGTAGACCGCAGATAAACAACAGACCTGGATACGACAATGAAAGGCCGTTTATGAACGGAAACGAAGTCTACGGTTCACAGCAGCAGGCGGGTTCGGGATATGGAAAAGGATACGCGTCAAACTGGGACTATTATTCTAATTCCATGAGGTAAGATTATATTATAACAATCTTTGGAATTTCCACCGAGTTAGATATGCATATTATGTCCACCTCTTTTAATAACAATTAATTATGTCCTTGTTAAAACAAAGCATATTGTAATTATTATACTTAGTTTATCTACTCTGAGACTGTGCCGACCATCCAGAATTTATAGTCTACAAGATGATAGTGTAGGAATTTTGTACTGAAACATTATTGTCTTACTATAAAATAAACACTCTGTATGGAGTATCGTAATTCGTAACCCATGTGAACATCGAAGATGCAAATATTGCATTACCTCAGAATGTGTTTTTTTATTGATATTTTTGCAATTTTCTGTGCTTATTATGGTATAGGTATAATAAACACGGTAGATACGAATAGATGTCAGAAACGATAAAATACGTATAATAATATTATTACCGTGAGTGTTATTCAAATATACTATTTCCCCTTGACTCGATTCCGGTATCTGTATACACTTCACAAGGTTTCTGGTATTCTCAAAACTATAATAATACATTTTTCCACTGTCATTATTGTTTTATCAAATAGCAGATTCTTCGACTAACATAAACAATAAAGGTTGAACAACCAACCAACGTCGGTCGGCAACCCGAAAGGTCAACTCAAAACACGTGTGCATCATAGGCCCAGCGGACCGTTAAATTTATGCGAGACGGCAAGAATATTTTTATTACTCGTGTAATCGTAATGGTACCTACCTACCTATATTAATTCGAAACCAGAACCTTCGGATTATTATGAATCGTTTTAACATTGTTTGGATGAGTTGTTTTTTCAAAACATTCGTAATAAAAACACTCGATATAACTTTGAAGTCACTATAATAAATAATGACAACGGGAGGTGTTCTGGTGTTCGAGCTGGATCGGTTCCGATGGTTACAAAATGTCTAAATTGGTTCGTGGATTGCTATCCTTAGGTTATGTGTAAGTTGGTCCCCACTATTTTTAATCAAAAACTCAATACCTTTTTCAAACAATTTTCAGTTTTAAATTGTATTGTATATATTGTATTCAAATAAGGCATAATATAAAACATCGGTATAATGTTTTGACATTACTTTTATTTTCAGACACGCTGTATTTGTCTACTAATAATTTATATTTTATACTAACGTAAATTTTGTTTTTCATTAACCATATTATTTCACATTTTATTTTGTTAATTTAACTAGTGGTATAGGTACAGTGCTGTACAAAGATAACTAAAAAATGATCTAGATAAGATAACAGATAATTTATTGAAATTTGATCTAGTGAGATAATAAAAAACAGTTAAAATATTTATCTTGATAATAGATAAATTACTCTACCAAATTTATCTTGACAAAAAATTTAAAAACTTGCATTTTTTAAATATAATTTTTGTTATACCTACACATAGTTTAAGATGTTTACGTTATAAAACATGTTTAAAGAGATTTACAGAGATTGAACAATATACTACGAAATAACTGCAGTTGAACACATAAAAGAACTAAAAGAACATACAAATAAAATATCCGATAGCTTTGAATAATTAAAACAAAAAAATAAATGTATATAAAAATAAATTGTAAATCTTGTCACAAAAATGAAGGTACCTATACACCTTACAGGTAGCTTATCTCATATAACAATTTTATTTAAACATAATATAAATATATTTTTATATAATATATATTGTATATATATTTATCTATAGATGCTTTAAATTATTTTTATCTAGATAGTGTACACTGAATATATAATAGTATTGAATTTATTATTATTTTATTAAAAATTGACCCTACAGTGTTCAATGATATTGTGATTTATAAAAATCCAAATGTCGAGTTTTAGGCATAATATTTTTTTTTTCTACACTTACTGAAGTATCAAATTTTATAAAAGTCCCGAAAACTCTAGGTACTGCCCGTGATTCTGATCGCAGTGTTTTGTTCGCGTTCTAGGGGACAGTCCAGCAACGGATGGAATGACCAGCAGCGGGATTACTTGCAGAGGAGACCCGACGGTGACGTGTTGCAGTCCGGATCAAGCTTCAGGCCCTCTGAGTCCACTCCTTTGCATTACAACGGCCACAGCGGCATTGGAGCATCGACCGACAACGGTTTCCTGTACAGAGGATCGTCGACCATTGGCGGCTCATCTACCACTCCTATGCCGACGACGAATAATAATTCGTAGTCAATAATATTATGATTTTTGGCCGTTCTTTTTTTCTTCGTGTACATTGTTTCTCGAAACCGTGCAATATCTTCCTAGCGCTAACGGGGTGATTAATATTATAATAAGTAAGCAATATAATTTTGGTATCGATTCGATTGAAAAAAAATGTGGGAAACGTTTATTTTTATTTTCCTAGGGTGGCATAATATGTGATTACTGATTAGTAACAACATTGATCATCATCTACGGAACACGTACAAATCGATTACTATTTTAACAATAATTTTAAATTAGTTATAAGTATAAACATAACATATACATTATACATATTATATTTATATACACCGAGTGATTTAAAATTAATGCCACAGCCATTTTATCATTTCAACATACAAAACAGAGAAAAATGTAAGTATACGAAAGTTTTTGGATTTAGAAAAATCGACATGGGAAAATTAAAATTAAATGGAAACATAAACTTTCTATATATATATTATATTTGTGACAGAAAAACATTTACTAATGTGAAATTCTATGTATGATAGCGATTTAAAGTTTTAATGAGCAAAGTGGAGTGGAACAAGAGTGCCCCTAAAAATGTTGGTTCAATAATCCACTCATCAAAACTTTAAATACATAGTTAATACATACTTAATCATCTAAAATTCGATTTTTTTACATCGACATACATTCTACTCATGAATATAAAATTAAAATAGCATATTATCATTCAAAAATTGTATAAAAATATAACATTTCTAAAAAAAATGTATTGCTTTGTAACAACTCAAAATTATGTAATTTATAAAATGTATTTTAAAAAATGATACATAAAATATTTATATTATAATATGGCTAATATGGCTGTACCATAAATTTCGAATCACTCAGTATATATGTATATTATATATTATTAAAGGTAATACGTATGCCATAAGATCGGTTATGTTTAATTAATATTATCTTAAGAGCTATTATTAATGATTCTCATATCTATACAATTCGTGTAAGTAATATAATATAAGTATTAATTTTATAAAAAACAATATTAAGTACCTATACATTATTATAAATCGTATATTCATATTAGTTATTTCAATTTAGATTGGTATAAAATATAACACAAAGATGTCATGCCAGAATTTTTCAGTATGGGAAATAAGATCGCTTAAATCAAAAGTAAATTGCACCAGAATGGTTTCATGACAAAACACCCATCATCCAAATAAAAAATAATATTAATATTGAGGGCTTTTATATTTTATACTTTTAAAGTTGTAATAATTTTTAAATATATTTATATTTAACCTAGAATAAATTAAGTAATTTAAAAACATCAATACATACCGAAATAAGTACCAACAATCATACTATATTATTATAATAAATTGTCTTGTATGAATTAAAAGTATCCTCTTTGTATACCTACGCTAATAACTTTTCGTTACTGAATTGATAAAGTTTTCTTTGAGTCAAATTTAAATGTATCTAAGTATACAAAAATATTCAATTATCAATAGGTACCTAAAATAATATTATATAATTATATATTTTCCAACATTTTAAATTGTAGACTTACATTTTTCTACATTACTTGTTAGTATAATAAAAGTTAAATTTATATTGATTTATATCGGATTTGTAAAAACATATTATGTTAATATAAAACTCTGTTTGAATAATTTTACTATATATTTATATTATGTTTTATTACATCAAATGTATTGAAAAAAAATATCAAAACTATTTTATATTCTTATGTACATAATGTAATATTATGACTAATATAAAGTGGTCAAGTGGACAATTATTAGATATAATTAAAACTAATTTCATAAATATATTATGTGCATTTCTTACCTAAAGTTAAACTGCTATATTTTATTATCTATAAAATATTTAATAATGTCGGTACATGTTATGTTACGTTCGTTTAACTGTCTTATAGCAACATTAAAATTAACTCCTTTGGGATTATTGAATATAATACATTTTTTTTTTTAATACGCCATTATAATATTATTTAATTTTTAACCACAATCGTCCCAAGGGGAGGGCGTTTGGATGTAATGAGTTTGCAATACACATACCCACCTACATGAATATTGCATAGTGGAATGTGCATGTATTTATAATTATTTTCTTAGATATTTAATTTCAAGTTTGAAAATGTAATTTCTATGAATAATAATATGATTTTTACATATTGTTTGGTACTGTTTAAAGAAATTAATTATTTTACCATTACTCCTATAAAATTCTACTGTGTATTATAATACTGATATTCGAGTTATTTTTTATACCTAACATTTATTATTTTTTAATTATGAAATAACTTATTAATCGCCGAAATATTATGGAAGAATCTGAAACATGTAATATATTATTATTACGATGCAATTCCGACATTCTTTTATCAAGGAGATTCGTAATTTGCGAATACTGTTCTGGTAATATAGCACGAATAAACAAAGAATCAATTTTGAACAATAATGTGGATGAAACTAAATATATTCGAATTATTTTGAACCCAAATTCGTTGTTCTAAAATTTAATTTTATCTTTGAAACGATGTAGATTTATGGGTAAACATGGGTGTGTAGAATACGAATGTGTACGGTACTTATGCCGATGATACATTTTTCATGACACGATTTGGATAAATGTGTTCAATCTCAATACTCAAGAGGTATTCATAAAATAATCACACTATCTGATTTAAAACGTATTTAAACTTCACATAAACTATATTGGTTGTAATAGGTACATTTAAATTTTGAACAATATTTTGGTGTCTTTATTTAAAACTATTTACGATGGCTTATATGACAGTGTTAGAGTCGGGCCACTCTAAGAGCTCTATCCTACTCCTTCGCGTATCCAACTGATTGAGCTCCGCGGTATTTCTCCCACTCTGCCGCCGTAAATACACGGGAATGCGCGAGAAAGGACGAATTTTGGTCGCCGCCCAGAAGCGCTCTTACGATGGCCCGAGTATAGAATACGTATCTGTTTTTTAATCAAATTGTATATATACTTTAAATAATATATTAATTTAATATTAGCATAAAAGAGGCCAAGAGTATTTTTTTTTCTGAAAATCAAATTAGAGGTTATAGTGAACTCATAGAATAGAATTATTTAATTGAACATCAACGCTGTATATCATTGTAAATTCAATGTTGGCGCAGCAGAGTAATTGAGTCTACATACTGCAACCATGATTTTAATGAAACGAGCTATGTTTTTCATTGAAATTAATTTATATTAAAGATATTAATTTAAGAATATTGAGGCAACTATTATTTTGTGTATATAGTTTCAAAATGGGCTTTTAAATTCTCCTAAATTGATTTGAGTGTCTTATATATACCTAAACTATCTGGACACATTTTTATCATAAGCTTCATTATTTTTTTGCATATTTAAAAAAGCCTAGTTGATGGTTATTGATTTTGGTGGTGTATTGCGAATTGTGATGTCATATATTACATCATAGACATTAATATATAATAAAGCTTTTATAGTGTGGATATGCACACGTCCCACTAATATATTGAGTGTATGGAAAAATGTCATGAAAAATTACTCTCCCTGTATTTTTTAAATTAATTTGATCATGATCATGTCCGTTGAATTGCAAGGAAATCATCTTGATTTTAATTAAATATCATTATATATTTACTCGTTCATTATAGACAAAAAATAATTAATTTAAAACTAAGAATTTCAAATAGACCCATTCTAAAAGACATATTTATGTCAATATTGAAACACCGATAAATAATATAACGGCACGTGGATAACACGCGTAACATGTGTGAAACATCAATTATTGTTGTTTGAGTGAATGGGAAAATCTTTTAATGTATTTCCACTAATAGAGAATGTGGATTGGTATTTGGTAATGGACTATTCAACGTGATAAGTAAATAGTAATAACACGTTAAGTATTTATTTGCTCTAACTATACACTGTATAATATAATATAATAAATAAAACAATGTACTTATCTATATTATATTATTGTGTTGACACTTTGACAGTGAAGTTGCTCAAGTCATAATACATGCGTACTCAATGCCGTAAAATGTAAATATGAAACGTATATCATAAATAAATAGGTAAGTACTAATAGTTTAATCAAACACTGTATTTTTTAATTTTTGTCAGTTCAATATTATATTTACATCCTTTCTTAATATGCGCACAATAACCGTTATCTATGTCATCGATGGCACTCTACTCTTAAAGTTTGAAATTTGTTTAGGATAAAACTTTACAGTTATGACATTATATTATATAATACTACCAGGAAACAGCGAATAATAATAATATATTTATTACTATCCAGGGAAGTAATTAGGGGGGTAGGGGGATAGATCCCTAAAAACTTTTTTTTACATTTTGATCAAATATTGATAATGACCATTCATGTTTGCTAAAAACGTATATCCCCCCCCCCAAACCAAATTACTAATTACGCCACTGTTACTATCATTACAGTTGCATGACTCTATAGACAAAATATTGACCCGGACCCCTTTTGGTTGTACAAAATATAAACTATGTTTTACTATTCTTATTTTTCAGTCAAATTTACTTGTTTAATGATAAAAAGTTTTCATCGTACGACGTTGTTAATATTTAATATAGTGTATTCGTGTTGATTTGATACCAACTAAAAATTCAAAAACTTTTTTATGAAAATCAATAGTACCTATATAGTTAGGTATATTTAGCTAGCGTATACGCACAACATTAAAAAAGTTTTTTTATTTCCTGGTTAGTTTATTATAACTTTTAAATATAAAATAATAAAATATTATGTAGGTTTTGAATATTATATTATCAATAAATAATAATGATTTTGTAATAAGTTCAAACAACGAATGAGAATCAAATTATCGAATAGACAGTAATAATAGCAGTACATAATCAAAATAATACAATATAATATAAATAATACATACTTAAACCTTAATAAATACAGAGGTAGATAAAAAATGGTAAAAAAC